GTTTTTATGCAATGTGGTTAGCAAAAACGACAGTAACAGTATCACGTGTCCGCTTGTTTATTTTCCACAAACCTTTCACAATAAAGCTCAAGATCCTGTTGAGACTTTTCAAAATAAATTGAATCACGTGAAAGAGCAGTAATAAATACAAAGAAAACGACAGCCGTTACAACTTATGTCTAAAAATGTATAGTTTCATGCATCGGTTAAAACACTCGACTCCAGGTACATGACGCGTAGCTGGAAACGCTTCCCGCAAGTCGAGCTGCCCGAGATTCACAGAATTTACAGAAAATGTTACATTTTTGTGATTTATATTGTTATCGGGACGATAGAGGTTTTATATCGGGATATGAGATTTTGGTCATATCACACAGCCCTACCTACTACCACCAACAATCATGTTGTTTATAGTGCCTCGGGATTGAATAAGATAGAGAATGGATTGGTATATCCTTACCTATCCATTCTGGATTGCATGTGAGTGTTAAAAATGTGTCTGTAGGTGCATATTTAAAAGTGCTTGGGCGCTAGGTGAGTGTAATCTACAGTCATTCCCCATGAACTAAACTAGGAGACATTAGAAGATGAACTAACATTAAATCTTGACAGTGTATTTTAACTACTTACATTAGTTAACCAAAGAAACAAACAGCTAGGCAGCACAGTGTTACATTAGTTGCCTCACAGTAAGGTTTTAGGTTTGAATCTATCCAAAGAGCTGTAGTTCACTGAAAGTGGCTTTTGGTGTGATGGTAAAAGGTTATCTCTGTGTTAGCATGTTACAAAATAAATTATTAAGAAAATTGACGGCAGGGTGTGTGAGCATGAGAGCTGAGCAAAGGGTAAAGAAGCCTTCATGCATTGAACACATGAAATTCATTGAATCATAAATTAAAAATAAATCAAGAATAAATTGGCACCGGATGACTGTTAAATGTCTGAACCTAGTCGTAAACATGCTATCAAAGAGGTAAAAGAGTAATCCCTCTGCTTGCACAGCACAGTGCAATTTTTATTGGCCCACTGGAGCTTCACTGTCAATGTCTCATTGCAATTATTTTGTTTAACATTTGACAAAAAAAGGCCTGAAGAAGTTTATTGAAGTACAGAGCTTATAAATCAAGACTAAAACCTCAGAAATGTATTGGCTGAAATTGTGTAGTAATAGTAATAGAAATAATAGCCAAACTGGAAATTTTAAAATTCGTAAAATTGAAGTGGCTAATGGGATTTCTCAGATTAATGGCTGCATAGAGACAAACATGCAAATTTTGGCATTTGTATCCACTTTTGAAAGATTGTTTTACTTATCTGCAGCACTATTACATGAATCTGTCTCACTGATTGTGTTTTTATGAAT